TACCAAAAGGCAATCATTTGTATATAAGCCCAAATTGGGATAAACGTTTNATAATAATGTATTAAAGCTTTATTGGGATAGAAACGCTAAGAAGAACCGTTAGCTCCCTAAATTTTAAGAACAGAAAATTGGTTTCTATATCCCAAAAGATGTGAGTGAGGTTCTTTGGCATTAGCCCGTCTTTACTTGCTCAAAGTTACCAGTGAAAACTGAGAAGACCAGAAGAATGTATTAAGTAATAGAAAGTTCATAATATTAATATCAAATCTAAGATCCGTTTTGAAGAACTCATTGTTGCAATTTGATAACATACGTATGTAAGTATTTCCTATTTGATTTCCGTAACAATTAACTTATTCTTACACGAATTAAACATCCAACAATCAACACTTTATTACAATATACATATGTATTGTCAACAAGATTTGCCGCTCGAATGAATTATCTTAATTAATTAAGGTCAAGCAACAATTCACAGTGTTAATGATCTTGTTTCGAACTGAATTAGAACTTCTTCTAGTAAAACACGATCAGATACATATAAGTACCTGCACAACACTTCATAAGTTGATTAGTGGCCATTAACAAGAATAATTTAAAGCGTCGTATAATCTGATCGTTTCCTTATTACATACATTACTATATTTATGAAAAAATCATCTGCCACTAAAGGCTTTAATGCGTACTTGCAGGAATACTAGAATGGCATTTGAAGGAGCTTGTTCCAATTATTTAAATAACATGACGTATTGCAATACACCATATCAAAAGCTGTCACAAGGAATTGCATTCATACATTACGTAGGTATTATTTCTTTATGATAGTCTTTAATTATCCATTATCCAATTGCCTTGAAACGTAAAGCTGTGGGATAAGTGGTAGTGCATCACAATTTTTAAATACAAATTTTTGAAATTCTTTTTATATTGCACAGACTGGCAAAGGATAGAACCTTCAATATAAAGAATTTAGAATTTCGAAAAAGATTGTTAAAGGTGTATGTTTGGAGCGCGGCGCTGTAAGGGTGCGAAACATTGACGGGGGGCGCGACGGAAAAGAAAAGGTTAGAAGCGTTCGAAATGTGGTGTTACCGGCAAATGATGAGGATACCGTTGATAGTAAAGGTTAGAAATGAAAAGGAGAACAGAGGACTTTATGGAAGTCAATAAAAAATAGGCGATAAAGGTTGGTAGGACACCTTCTCAGGCATGAAGGTCTAGTCAGAGACGTATTAGAGGCAGAAGCAGGAGTTAAATGGAGTAGAGGAAGTCCTAAATTAGATTACTGTTCGCAAATAGTTAAGGATGTTGGATGTTCTAGTTTTAGGGAAATGCGAAGAACAACAGTGCGAGTCCAACCAATCTTAGAACTGACGACCTTATGATGAGAAGTTTGATATCACCAGAAACCGTCTGATTATAACTGAATGTCAAATTTATTATTTTTTTTGTTGTCGTTTCATAAAAATGTTATAAAACTATAAAGTTAGTGAACCATCACTTATTCTTAAGCGATTTGAAACCGATAAGGCACGCTACGTCTTACCTAAAACCCTTGTTTTAGGCTTTAAAATCCCACAAGGACAGATGATTCAATACTATGTAAAATAATCATATTGTCAAAACTGTCTTTTTAAACTAATAATTATTACTATTAAGAATAACTGAAAATTATAAGTCTACCCCCTTTTCTAATATCAAAATTACGTCTATTTCTTAATCTTATATTGTTGACCAAGGCCTTTATGTTCTTTATCAATATGGATTTCTTTGGAAAATACCAGTAAAATGTAAAATCTAATTATTGTCCTAATAAATAAGAAATTAAACAGAACACAATCAGATCTAGGAATAGTAGCTATGTGTAAACATCCTTAAAAATAAATGATAGAATTGAAGCATTATTAAACTTTGTCATCTTTCTTTGGGTTTTGTTTTTGTTTATAAATTGCACTACAACAGCAAGTATTGTTTATAACGATGCTGAAGAGGCACTATTAACTGTATTTAATCTAATCTGTTGTAATGTAAACTCTGCAGATAAAATATTCTTTCTAGATTTTTCTGAAGTGGGAAGTACCTTACTGCTTCTCGTCATAGTTAAGTAATGGTAACATTTTTTTATATCTTATTTGTATCAATTTCAAGGGCGATTTAAAATAATGATAAAACTGCCTATTAGAGTTCCGGATGAATCTTTCATATAAGCCAGTGGTTGTGTAATTAAAACATCCAACTGATTGGTAATTTGCCTTGAGTTCAAAATTTGGTAATTTATAGAGACATTTCTTGATGTAAAGCCTAAAACTATATGTACTTATATCATCAATGCTTATAAGTACTTAATCTTTTTTAATATTAACGACAACCTCCAAAAGTTTATCGTTCTTTTCGATAAGTAGAACATAAGTATTAAATTGAAACAACTTTGTACTTAGTATAATTTTATTTATTGTTTGTTATTATGTTGAAAGATATCATTAATTTGAAATGGTTATTAACCCAAAATGCATCAAAATTTATTCGTAATTGAAAATCATATTTTACAAAAAACGTAGTAGATATTTTAAATTTAAATTTCAAATTTTACAAANGTAAAGGAATTTAACAGTCAAATAAAATGACTAACAAATTAAATTTTTCAACGACAATTACAGTTTTAATAAATAAAAAATGCACTTGTTATAAAACGTAAATAGTAAATTTATCTAATCAATCATTAAATTCATTTTAACACCTTGAACGTAGTTAACTATATCAATGAAAAATTGATTGAATTAATATTATTAAAGTATTAAAACCATCATTAAAACAAAAACTGCAGTTGGTTGTACCTACCAAATATCAAACGAAATAATTAAAAAACCACAAAGATCCATACAGATTAGCCTTTTTGTATTATCATTTCTTGAAATACCTTCCTTGCAAATATGGATGAAAAATACATGTGATGCCATAAGACCAACTTTTATTATTAGACTCATTAAATAGCAGGAATTTTCTTTGTAAACTTTCAAGGTATGCAACAGAAACGTTTATAACAAATATCCGATACATCAATAAAACAATTACAACCACTGTCTAAGTACTCTCTTTATAATGTAATTAAATCACAAAAGTAGAAGAATAACTGTGAATACGAATAAGGAAGTGTAATAATAATGCACACATCGGGGCAATTGGTTAAATCAAGAAATGCAGCCTCGAAGGTAATTGCAAGTTCGATCAAGAACCATTGCTCTTGCTATCACATATCATCAGAGATAATTGTATCGCAGTTTACGTTAGGTACTATATTAAGTGTAAATTAGGTTTCGAATATGTAAGAAAATTCCTTGAAGAACACTAAAAAATGTATCACTATTAATGTTCAAATCAAGAATATTGTACCTATATACAAATAATACTGGATAATGGTATTTGTTTTGTAACCATAGAACATAAAAAGGTCACGATTATGATAACTGCGATCTATTCATGACGAAATTCAGAGTTGTTTTCAAATTGTTCAATCATAAGTTAAAAAAAAGACTTACGCATTATCTCAAATACATGCTAAACTTAGAATATTTAGAGATTCCAATTAAGTTAGTAATAAAAATATTATAATTGATTTTTTGCTAGAAATTGCAAAAAGATGGAAAAATTCACAGGAGAATATATTTATATAATATATATATATATTTGTAAACATTTTAATCGATAGAAGAATAAAAAGAATTACTTTTTAATATGTAAATAAACTGTTGTTTGGAATTGGAACATTTAAAAGTAATTCTCTTTTATTCTCATTTGAATTGTTTAATCTTACTAAAGGAGTAAAGTTGATAAGGCGTACTTTTAGCCCATTTAATAAAACGTTTGAATATTATTTTATATCAATATCGCGTTATTTAAAAGTTAGTCTTATCGCAATTAATTTTATTGATTATGCATGAGCGAAAAATTGAATAAATTTAATTGTAAGCAATTTTTACGCACATTATTTCAGCAACGTGCAATGTATATATTAGATAAATAATATTATCTGAAATTCATATGTAAACTAACATGAAAAATTGTTGATGTGATACTGCAGTTAGTAAAATACGTATAAGCTCAGCTGTTTAACAAGTATGCACCTAACACCTTTTCATTAAATTACCTGTTTGCTACTTACATAATATTCCGTTTTTTCTATCGAATAATAGTTACATATATGGTCTATCACATTATTGTTCCCTATTGTTTTTAACAAATATTTCTCATATTTAAACAAACTTTCTTAGAAAAACATATGGGTATGTACAAGATCACCTAATACGTATTTGCCTGTTCGTCACAACCGATTAACTAAAAATTTTATTAAGTCTTATATCATGCACTAGATTAACTTTTTAAACAGTGAAAAAAATTACTCCCAATAATTTCATATAATTTTGAATACCTGCGCGAAAAGGGAACATTCATTCCCTATCTTCTTATTTCCGAATGTACTAGGCTTAAAAAGTAGGAAAATATATACACAATTAGGAAGGTCAATCAGTTTCCTTATTTACAACTACAGAAAAAATATGACTTTAATTTAGTACAATTTTATTGGTTTTCTGAACGTATAGTTTTTGAAAGAAAAAATAATGTTGTTTAGTTTAGAAAGACAGATCCAAAAAACATTAATTTAATTCTAATATTCTTAAAATAGCAAACATTTCTTAATCTATATATCCAAATATTAGAATTAACATGCCAAATGCTATTTTAAATATGTACGAACAACACGCCGCAAAATTCATATGATAGGTAGGTACTTCAATAAAACTGACTATTTTTAAATTGTTGCATTTGTGAAAAATAAAAATGTGTGAAAAATAAAAATACGTAGGTTCCAATCTACTAAATAATGCGAAAACATCCATAAAAGAAGATAACTTATTATTTACAAAATTTGTAACTTGTACAGACAAAATAAACATGATACTTAATGATAAGAGTAAGAGATATTTTTAATTTTTTATACTTACAACGTCAAATCCGACTTCATAATGAGTGCCCCTGGTATAAATAATAGGGATGCACTGTCTTCTCCCTAAGTATTCTACAACAGGCATTTTTTCTTTCGTTCAACAATCAAATAGACGCAAGTCTACGACACTGTCGGATGTTTTTTAAAAAGAAGACGATAAGAAATTGTTTTGTCAAACAAAACTTTATCTTTACAGTCACAAAGTTTTATTAAGTGTAATTATAAATTAGATTTTACTGCTAAACTTGCGCTCGATTTTCAGTATACAGTGTTAGCGACATTTATAAGTTTTCGCTTTTCAGGCGGATTTTCAATGCCTCCTTCGATTGTTACGTAGGTACGCAATCCGATTACTCCCTCCAATTGCATCTTTATGTAACTAAAGCCGGTGTAAATAGTTGGCTTCGTTTTGTATAATGTGCTTTGAAAAAATTATACTTTGTCGATGAAATACCATCAATCCATACATTGACAATTTTCATTTGTTTTTCATTAAAAAATAAACTGACAATTTAAACTAACAGAAAAAATAATTCTGTTATAATAAGTATAATATACATAATTTATGACTGCTTTGTAATATTTAGATACTTTTTTGTGTTTTTAAGTCATACTTGATAAGTGTAGCAGTAAAATTGTATAGGATTAGAATTTTAATATTTTTATCGGCAGTGACGAACTGCTACTATCAAGTTACAATAGCTTGCAATTTCAATTCCATATTTTTTATTCAAGTGTAGTAATGATATCGACACTATTATCATTAAAAGTCATGACAAGCTCGTATGTATGATAGAAAATTTCAGCATGTAAAACAATTATTGTGTGGGTAGATAGAAGAATTTGTGCTAAGAAAAATTATTAAAAAACAACGTAGTTATTATTAAATGAGCAAGACCAAGACTAAGGCCGAATAAGCAAGACTATGACCAATACTAAGACTGGAACATAACCCCGGTATGAAAAGGAGTGTATAGTTGAACAAAGATGTATTTTTTCATCTTTATACTTTATCTAGAAAATCTTTATAAATAAATTTTTAAATAGGTGCTCATTTGTTTTAGACTGGAGGGTAGAAATCAACGGTTTTTTTTTGTTTTCTAATAATGGTAAGGGTGTTTTTTCTATTTTAAACGTTACTAGATAAATTACTTCAACAGCAAAAAATTGCAATGTTAATTCAGAGTTAATATCGTCGTTTACATGAAGAAAATTTTAAGGTTTAGATATAAGTTTTTAAAGAACCTGCCAATGTCTATTACTGTGTTATAAACTATAAGTAGATGTTCCTTTTCTCCTGGAATATTTATTGTTTATTACTTTATTTACTGTTTTCTTATACATCTACTGATTCAAAATCTAGTCCCCTGATTTAGGGAAGATTTTTACGTCACAGTTAAGTCTTACGATCAGGTATATGCACCAATAAAGATTACAATCCAGCAGCATTTTCAATCCCGTGGGATAATTGCTGCTAATCCTACCTACGGTATCGGCCGGGATCTTTCTGCCTCTACATTTGATGACTTCAGCGTCAATAATTAGTCGTGTATTACAGTCAAGTAATTTCCTCTCACTCCATCAGTTTCGTAAGCAGTCATTTCTTTATTTAATATTTTCTGGAAATCTTTCTCTTTACTAGTCTACCTAATGTAGTGTTCACTGTCTTGTTTTATCTGCATTTCTAATTTTTTTGTATTTAAGGATTAATGCATGTATCAAAAATGTGTGCGGTTAATATTATATATAAAAAATAATATGAGTGCTGTCAGCACAGGGCAAAATAGTATTACATAAATGAAAGTTAGTATTAGCAATTTCTTATGGTGGAGTGTACGATGTGTTGTATATCTATTTTAATTATTAATTACTATACATCTATTAAAAAACCATAATGGCCGACATCAGTGACAATGCGACAACAATTGAAAAAGAATGATGGCTGACAACTGCAACAATTAGAAAAGAATGATGGCCGACAACAGCAACAATTAGAAAANCCTCTTCAGCCTGCTTTCAGGAATCGTGGGAATGGGTGGGTGGTGGTTCGGGTGAGAAAGATGAGACGGACGAAATGAAGACAGAAGAAAACGAAAGATTATCTGTGGAATATTACTGCCTCAGCATTTGCCAACGTGATCCAAGGAAACCACAGAAAAACTTGGACCAAAGCAGACGGACCCGGAATCGAACCGGCGTCCTCCCGAATGCTAAGCAATGGTCTAGACCTCTAGGCCATGCCGCTCGGTCCTAAAACTAATACAACCCACATCCTTAACTATCTGCGAACAGTAATCTAATCTAGGTCTACCTCTACCTCTCTTCCGTTTCTGCCTCTAATGTCTCTGACTAGACCTTTATACCTGAGAAGGAGTCCTACTAACCTATCTCGCCTATTTCTTATTGACTTCCTGTTCTCCTATTCTTTCTATAGTTTATATTCTATGATTACTACGTTATCCAAATCATGTCGATAAATTACTGTTATTATTACACACCGTTTCCATTTTTGTGCGAAAATATTACTAATATTTAATTCTTTTAATGTCTTATCCTGAAAATTTATCATAAAACAGAAAGAAGATACTACAACCTACAGCATATGTGTTTCATACGATTCGGTGAATCTGGATGGGGTGTTGAAAAACACTGTAAATGTAGTAGAATCTATTGATCTATATAAAATATATTCAATGCCTTCAATCGGCGTACAGTTGGGGAAACTACACGGTGAAAACGAAGGGAGAAAACAACGACAGATAGATAAGATGTAGAGAGAGACGATGAAATAGAAACCGAGGTACATGACTGTTTACAACAATATGGATTAACTATGCATTTGATTATCGCTGGTATTACCGCGCCTTTCTTATGTCTTTATCTCTGTGACGTAAATAGTCATTAGAAAAGCCTATATAATATTTACAAAATTTTTCCGACCGTACTAAAAAGACAGCAGTGATATTGACAACGCAACGAGATTCTAACCAAACGCTCCTTAGTGAGACCGACAAGCGATTACAAACGCGCGTTCAATCGCAGTCCGTCGGCTCCGTGTGAAACGGCCCTTACTCGCAACATTAATATTCAGTAGCGCAACATCGCAGCCTTCCATAATAACTTTCACTTAGAAAATAATACATATAGTGATCCTAAAGGAAGAATAATAAGAATAGAAAAAATCGAGTAATGTCAAAAACGAGTTGATATTTATTTCGTGGGATAGATTTACAAAAAAATAAATTTACAATAATGTTAAGAACGCAGAACAAAGTAACGATAATAAACAAATCAAAATAAAGGTAATAAAAGAAAACAAAAAAAAATATAACACAGCTTTTCACCAAACAATGCAGTACGCGCATATTTCCAAATTATATATTTACAATTGATACTACGGTCAAACGTTTCATTACATATCACAAACCTCACAATTACAGTAATAATAGTTAATTACATCATTTTTAATAAATCCAGTAAGAAACTCCGTCACTTTAAAGAGTTTTTTTTTAACATTTACTTTTTCACATGCATATATTAATTAATGTTTAAAAAATCACAGCACAAACTCTTCATTCGGAGAGTTATTGTTCTGGCTGAACTTTACCCTGTACATGCTTCTTTATTGCTAGACGTAAACTTCTTCTCAGAGGTCTCTCTGAATGCCTACTCGATGAAGAAAATGAATCTTCTGAATCTTCTGCTTCAATGTACGGAACTGAACCTTTGTATGTCCACAAACCTACCATACCATCCCACTACAAAAAAAAATATTATTCATCAAAACGTTTTTTATCGTTAGCTTTTATATGAAAATAATACTATGAATTAATAGACAGTTTTCAGGATAGGCATACAGGGGCGGAAAAAAAGTAAAAAGGAACAGAGGAAGACCCAGATTGGCACAGTTAAGGATGCAGTATACAGTGTAAATTGACATAGGATAAGAAAGAGCAGCGGTGCCTGTCTAACTAGTCTTCAATAATAACAATACAATAATTGGTATAAATATAAATTACTTACGGAAGAACTAAGGATTTCATTTCGGTATGGATGCCAAGAAACATCCCTTACACATGCATTATGACCACTGAGATCTCTCTTTATTTTTCCTGTTAAGGCATCATAAACTGTAAAAAAGAAATGTTAGTTACATACTGTTTTTACTTTTTATAATGCAAGAAAAAGAACTTACCAACAACTCTACCACCTCCACATCCTGTATATATATACCTTTGGCCTGTAGTGCTCATTGGTGAGAATCTGCACCTTACAAGGGTTTTTATAACAATGTGACCCTTGTATGTCATAATAGATGTATCACCTTCGATTTTATTTTTATTACTATATACTGAAAATTAATAAAATTAAGACAGTTAAACATTGCATTCTAAGTAACATCTTTTATGTTACTTATAATAGATCATTATAACATTATATTAATTACATTTTTTCGGCACTTCCTGCCATCTATAATCCCACGTTTGATCGTGGACTGCCCTTAAGGTATTGTCAGCTGCCCTGGGATCTGAAAACACCCTCACATCCCATAGCTTGATACTTTGATCCTTGCTGTTAGATATAAGGTGTCTACTGTCACCCTTCGAATCTAGGCATATGCAAATAATTATTAGATAATTAAAAACTACTTTGTATTAAAATAAAACATGATAAAAGCAAACTGTTCAAAACCGACCTATGAAAGTTATACCGTCCATATGTCCAGCGAGAGTACCAACCGGAGTCGGGTTTTCTTCATTCAGTGTTCTTCTATCCCATACTTTAATCAAACCGTCGTCACCCCCGCTGTAAATAATTTGAGACGTATCATCAGCAAATGCTACACTGTTCACATCATAATCATGTGCGCATATCTGAAAATGTACATCATCATCTCTAAGATGAAAACAATGTTATGATTGATGGAAGTACGTAATAATTATTTTTACCAATAAAACTTTTCAACTTTCTTGGAGAAAGCTCTTACTTTCAGTAATATTCTATCTCTATGTCATTATGTAATACTTTTTAACAAGTAAATATTTTTTATACACACCCTTAGCGTTCTTTCTTTCCTTATCATGTCATAAATATACAAACTACCATCATTGGCACCCCCCAAAATTTCTGTACCATCAGATGAGAACAGCACTGAAAATACACAAAACCTTCTACCAGTCTTTACAAGACATAGCTGTTCTTGTTTATCAGATTCCCCATTTATAGAGCACATATGCACTAAAAGTAATTTTTGTTTTCGATTACATTTAACTTGAATTTTATTTGGGATAACTTACAAGAAGAAGACCAAGTGGAATAGACAAAATGTTCTTGATCTGGACTAAAACCGACGTCTATTATACTCCACCCTACATCCCTCGCATAGATATTATTTACAAGTTTGTAGTATTCATCATCAGATTTATATACGCGAATTTGTCGATCTAAATCAATTAAATTGGAAATAAGAATTTAATCAAAACATAAAGGTATAAGGTGTGTCTACAAAAAATACTTCTTTATTCTAAAAATCCTCTTGCAAGTTATTATTCAAGGGTTTTTTGTTTACTCAATAGTGTGGTAATACATATTATGTTTAATATTTTCTTTTATTTTTTTATTTTCAAAGTTTACTTCCCATAAGTTATAGACCTCTTTAAATGAATTTCTTAAGACGAAACTTAGCAAGTCAAATCTACTTAAATGAAACATTTTGTTTCATGTTAACCTGATAGAAAACCTTGAAACTCAATAAAACATCTTAATTTTTGAATTGCAATCTTTTATGGAGAATAAATATTTTTTGATAATTTAACCATTTATTTTACTGTACTTTTTTGACACACCCTACTATTCATATTACTATTAAAATAAATAAGTAGTATGAAGGGTATTATGAAGATGTATAAAAGAGATACAAGACCTTGGGATGCTGTAATAAAATGGTTGCCATTTTTTGAGAAGGTCCCACAAAATGCTTTTCCAGCATATGCTTCAAGAGTCTTCATGACATTTGGTAAAAATTCATTGGCAATTCTACATTTGTTAGGGTGGGAAAAGTTGTTGTAAGTTGTCATACCCTTCTAAAAATTGTTAAATAAGAAAATGTAAGTTAACAAATTTAAATTCCAAATACTACATAAGGTACTTTATAAAATGTATTGTATTGCTATGAAAAAATAATCATTTCCTTGATGAGTTGCAAAATAACTTATCTAAAAGTAGTGTTATTAACATTTTAAATCAATGTTTGCTCATAATAAGTTTCCTTATCATATCAACTTTTATCTGTCATTTTACTTTACAATATTACAAAAATGAAAAAGAGTACTTACTTCTCGATTTAACAGCATTTGAGTAAAGTTTGTTTTTGGAAATTTTATCCGAGAAATCCCTAAGCCACATGCCTGTCTAACAGATGACGAAAATTCACTAGCCTTAAAAAAATATTAAAAACTAGAAAGCCACAACTTGATGGTACATATCATTTGTGCACATTTGTTATAAATATTGACATACACCTGCCCTCAAAAATAAATATGTACTTAAACCAACCCACCCAAAAGGTTTATATCGATGTTTAAAAATATCCTTATGAAGAAAATTGTAAATACAAAACTGGAAGATCACATGACACAACTAAATATTTGCATTAATTAAAATGGTGCAATATGAAGTAACTGTTTAATATCAAGTAAAATACTTACATCTAGGATAGTCGTATTAGGCACATGTTTTAGCTTAGGAAGTGGAGGGTACTGCTCAACATCATCATAGTTTGAAGGGATTATATGGACGGAGCCACTAAAAATAAGAAAATTTAACCCTTGAGAACTGAAATCCAACCATGGTGGTAGTTTGCATACTTTGTATACCTGGAGATTAAACTTTGAAGAATAGCAGCATAATCAATTTCTTGATCACTGTCGTCTTCTGATCCAGAGCGTGATCTTACATCTTCTTCATCCATTATTCTAGTTCTTGAATACTCACTTCCCATAAATAACCTGTAAACACTTTACCTACGACTTTGTACTTGCATAATATAAAAGCGAAACGACAATCATATATTTGTCTGATAATTCATTTCACTACTTCACTGTCCTAATGGAGAACGAAGTTGTTGCAGTTTATTTTTCTTTGCTGTTGATTTCACATAAATAAATTCACACAAAGCACCAGTACATCAATGGTTAATGGATCAAAAATCATAAAATGTTTAACCAAATAACTGTACTTTAAAAAAAAAACAACCAAAAAATAGCATGAAATGAGAAATAGAGTATCGTACTTTCTATTTACGCGAAATTATGATAACATTGAAAATAATTGATAAAAGACACAAAAAGACATTAAAAGTAACACACCGATCTCACGATTAGACATTATAATACATTATGATTAATTTTGTTACTACATTTAACAGGACAGGTCTCTAGGTATCAAATGAAAATTTCAAATGGAAATAAGTCAAAATACGAATTGTTTATTAATATTCATGCAAAAACTTGTTAATTTAGATAATAACATGCAGTTATTAAAACGCCTTTTCTTTTAACAAATTATATTAAACCTTAGGTAAAAATCAATGAGGAGTTTTTTAAAATTACGTTTGAGTACGTCCCTGTACTTTGTTTTCCTTCTTAAATTTATACCAACCTAATATTTAAGTAAAACAAATACTTTTCTTTAATTTATTTCCTTCTTGTACAGAATTGCAAGCGTTTCTTTATTTTGTACCATTTGGAGTAAAATTATATGATACCAAAAGGCAATCATTTGTATATAAGCCCAAATTGGGATAAACGTTTTATTCTATTAAGTTTGGCTATCATGAATTTTGACTTTGACAATCTGACGTTAATCAGTTGACGTGTGCGATTCAAACAGTTTGGCTCACCAATCTTATTTCTGATTCGGTATCTTGAAGTAAAATTTGTTTATTAGTAACTAAAATAATCTTAATTTATTTGGTTCTATAAATCGTTAATACATATTTAGTTTAACACAAAAGGAGATGGCTCCAGCTAAGAAAATTAATCTGAAAGACAAGGTGGAGGATGGAGAAATTGATTTAAGTATGTTAAGTCTAGAAGATGTGCCTGTAAGAGAAATAGTAAGTAAAATTTACTTTTTTTAAACATTCATTTTAATAACCATCGATATTTAAGGCTTCTGTGAAGAAAGTTTACAGTTTGGATTTATCCAACAACCACCTAGAAAGATTGCCAGTGAGTTATTCATTTACTAATTATACTGAACTTTTTATTGGACGTTTTACTTTCAGAATAACTTTGCTACGTTAACCAATTTAACAAAGATTGATTTAAGCAAAAATAACTTAAAAGAACTACCAGAAAATTTTGGGAACTTGGAGAAATTGGTTCATTTAGATTTATACAAGAATCAGTTGCAGCATTTACCTTTGAGTTTTCATGGACTTAAGAACTTAAAATGGTTAGATTTAAAAGATAATCCACTTGTTCCAGCAATAGCTAAGATTGCTGGTCCATGTCTAGACAATAAACAATGCCAGTTATGTGCCAAAAGTATTATTCAGTTCTACTCTGAAATGAATGAAAAGGTGGAACAAATGAAAATAGATCAGAAAGCGCAGATACTTAAAAATCTAGCATATAAAGCAAAACAGGAAAAGAAGAAGAAAGATAAGAAACAAAGACAGAAGGATAAGAATGACAATTTGGCAAAGGAGAACATTAAGAAAGAAGAGATAGAAACAATCTCAGAACAAATTATAGAAAAAGAACAGGAGGTATGCATTACATTTTGTAATACTTATACCTACGACTGTGTTCATAGGTGTTCCTTTTTTTTTCAATTAAATAAAATTGTGCACCTTTTTTCCCAAATTTAATATCAAGAAGCACAGTTGATTTATAATTTTATTTTATTTTTGTTACAGACTCGTTTAATTGTAAAACAGAGGAGCTCATCTGGTTCTGGGGTGTTGAGAACAATATTTCTTCTTATATTTTTCTTATCTTTGGGATTATTTCTACTTACAGCTTTTAAGGTGAAATATTTACAAAGTACTGAGCAGCATATTGTTTCTATGTGGATGATGTTAAGGGAATATTTTCCTAATTATTGGGAAAATTATGTGATAATTTTTGAAAAAAAATTTGTGCATTGCCATTTGCTCATTGGTAATTATCTAATTCGGATTTACGAAAATTTATCAAATAGTCCTTATATGTTATTAATTCAAGATTATATTTTTTATACTGCGCGAAGTATAAGTAAACAATTAAATGAAGTTTTTCACAATATACTGTAAATTTAAAAAATATTTATAGTAATATATAAGAATGTTTTATTATTTTTGTATTAGGTAATTTACATTTATATCGGAAATATTTTTATGTAAAAGAACTGATAATAAAGAATTATTACCGAAAAGAATGTTTTATTGTTTTGTATTAAGAACAAAATAGAAAAGACAATAGATTAGGTAACATTCTAAATTTTTGTTTCATCATTCTCTTGTAATTTAGGATACGTTAAAAGCACATTCAAAACATTACCAGCAATGGATACTTTTTTTACTGTTTTTATAATGTCATTCGTTAAAGTGATATATGCAAACTGCAGAATATTCCAATCTTTGCGAGGTACAGCACTTTTTTCGCATTTAATCATTTTTTTGGGAATAAAAATATAAACATACTTTTATTACTTTCATTACTTTTAAAGATGATTTATAATTTGAATTGCAACCGGAAACAACAACGACGAGGCATTTTGTTAAGAAATAAACAAGANTACGAGAATGAGACTTGCAACCGGAAACAACAACGACGAGGCATTTTGTTAAGAAATAAACAAGAAAATTTACAACTTAAACACAATCTGACCTAAAACATTTTCACTTCTTTCACTTAATAGTTAATATTACCTTCTGCAATTAAAAACTATATCTAAAGGTATTAATTATTAAAACACACTATAAGCATCCTTATTGCACATTCATTGTACGATATTTCCGCTTAAATTAAATATTATAGAACAACGAAAGAAATACAACAACCAACGTATTAGTGGTAACACTCACTTTAATTATTTATGCTAGACCGTCGTATACTGTGAACATACTAAACCTTCGGTTATCGAAACAAATGGCATTAAAAATCCTTTTTTTGTCTTTGCTGTTTCGCTGTTGTACATAGTATCATTACATATCATTACAGACGTTTCAAATACAATCACCCACTGGTTAGAAGGGAGTGACATCGATATTAAAATATCAGAAACAAAATTTTGCTTCTCCAGAAATACTTATAAAACCCCCTGTTAGCTGCCCGATTAATTTTAAATCCTTCGGCCTGAAATTGTAATTTTTATAATTAAATAAAATGTTTGAAATGTGTAAATTTTGATTTTGTTGTTGGTTCTTCTTTTTTAATAGATGATTGATCGTATTTTAAATATTGTCTTAAATACATGAATTTGCTTCATCTCGTCATCTCAATATCATAAACGGTTGCAGAAACAATAAAAGTTAATAGTCTGTAATTAACCGGTGCCAATTGCTGAAAACCTTGACTTAATACTAATTATTTGCTTGTATGAAATAAAAAAAAAAGAATAGAAAATGAATTGCTCGTCTTGGTATATGCCTTTTAACAAATAGTAATTGTCAATGCAAACTATGTAATATGTAGGTGTAGCTTGCTATCGGTCGTATTGATTACAGGAAACAAAAGAGAGCACTCGACTTCGTAACCTTTAGTTACCCACGACAAATTAAATCTTCTACTAAGTAAATAAAGACGAATCAGAGCGTAAATTAGGTTTCTATCAGAGTACAGTTGGTAATTGCGTAGAAATTCTTTACTGTACGTAATAGTAACGAGTATTAAAACGCTTATTAGCTATTATCAAAAAAGGTCAAGGACTATGAATTGTAGTCGGTTGGAATAACATCATTTTTGTACCTACTGTGTAGTGGAGTGCGATCAAAATGATATACATTTCTTTGCTATTGTCATTATGTTTTACTTTTAAAACGTGTATTTCAACTACCGTTATCGTTTGTCACGATTGCGAACGAAATGTTAATGAGTTTCAACCCACTTGGGAAAGTTTAGATAGTAGAAAATTACCCCAATGGTACGATGATGCGAAATTCGGTATATTTTTGCACTGGGGTGTTTATTCGGTACCAGGATTTGGAAGTGAATGGTTTTGGAATCGTTTAGCAAGTAAGTTTTCTTTGAAAAATAATAAACAAGAAATGAAAATTGTGAAGTATTTTTTCGTCTTTCGTCAGATGTAATTTCTTCGATAACATTTTCATATTCATTTTGTCGACCTTTGTGTGTGTAATAAGATAAACCCAAATATTACATGGATATTACGAAAGCATTGGATAAGTTCTTAATGTTAAAAGAAAATCTGCTTTTATCATTGAAAAAAGATAAGAAAAAAATAATTTCATTTATCATAACACGCAGCTAATAACCGACGTTTCGCATTTTATTACTTTTAAATGTTTCATCTTATTCTTTGTATCTATTAAAGTGTAAGCATTCAAGCATATCAGGATAAAATATCAGGACTACCTGAGGCTACTGGAAATTAGAATTATTTGTTTATTTACCGATTGGGTTATGAACACACTCAGCTTTCAGTATCTGTAAATATTGCTGTAATAATATTCACAGTGTTATTTTTTATTTTCAATTAACTACTGTTTGTTCATAATATGAACAAAAGGTCGTTAATACATAATAGGTACTATAAGTATTAACAAAGCAACGGCTTATTTATATTACCTCATCCTTTTCTTAAGATAATGCTCCTGCTTATGTACAATACTTTAAGTCCAATTACCCCCCAAACTTCACATATCAAGATTTTGCTAGAGATTTCACAGCTGAATTTTATGAACCCGGAGAATGGGCCGAACTTTTCAAACAATCCGGTGCAAGGTGTGTAAAGCATTTTAAGTACATAACGTATATCCCTCTTCAAAAGCAGCAATTTGAAATAGTTTTATTTTTTTTAAATAATTGTAAAATACAGGTACGTTGTACTGACAAGTAAGCATCACGAAGGTTACACCCTATGGCCATCAGAGTTTTCGTTTAGTTGGAATTCGAAAGACGTTGGTCCACACAAAGACTTATTGGGTAAATAAAAACAAACATGGAAGATATAATTCAGTTAAATTTTCTCTATTAATTCTACACAGGCGATCTTGCAAATGCAATTAGAAGTAAAACAAATCTTAAATTTGGCGTTTACCATTCGTTATATGAATGGTTTAATCCAATGTATCAAGCTGACAGAGCGGCTTCCTTTTCGAAAAACAACTTCATTACACGAAAAATTTTGCCGGAAATGATCGAACTGGTTGAAAAATATAAACCGGAAGTTATATGGTCTGATGGTGATTGGGAAGCACCTGATACATATTGGCAGTCTACGCAATTCTTAGCCTGGCTCTACANGCGGCTTCCTTTTCGAAAAACAACTTCATTACACGAAAAATTTTGCCGGAAATGATCGAACTGGTTGAAAAATATAAACCGGAAGTTATATGGTCCGATGGTGATTGGGAAGCACCTGATACATATTGGCAGTCTACGCAATTCTTAGCCTGGCTCTACAATGAAAGTCCTGTGAAGGATACGGTCGTTGTCAATGACCGATGGGGTAAAAACTGCTCCTGTCGTCATGGAGATTTTTACAATTGTAAAGATCACTATGATCCTGGTAAAAATTTTTTAAATTTAATTATTTTGCAATAAATATTCTAAAAAAATACTACCGCACCACATTTTTATGGCATTACCATGTGTGTACTTAAGTTTTACTGAATTGTAGTCAACAGTTTGCAAAATTCCAGTAGATACATACCATTATGGTGCTTTTGCGTAATTCGTTCTAGATTTAGATTAGATCAGGGTAAATTCACATCGAAAAATATTTCGATAGTATTCAAAACCGTCTTTTTTTAATTTTTACATACTTAATTATTTATTTATGACACTCCTACAAAACATTTCCCTTTTGAAGATAGGAAAAGTTTTGTTTACCTAAATTACATCAATTATTTTCCCTTTTTAATAAAAGGTACCCTCCAAAAGCATAAATGGGAATCCGCCACTACTGTTTACAAAGAATCATGGGGTCATGTAAAAAATACTAAACTACAAGATTATCGGACTCCTTGGGAGTTAATCTCGTTAATTGTAAGAACTGTTAGTTGTGGAGGTAAATATAACATTTTTTTAGTTTCTTCTTTGTTTAAAGATTATCCTTTAATATTCACGACATTTCATTGAATAGATTACAGGATAATTAATTACAAAGCATTTTAGTATTGTAATTTAAAAAAATCAATTGTTTCTTACTCATCTTGTATAATTCAAATCTTCCAATTTCCTGAAAACTAGCTCTAACACTGCTAAACATGTTGGTGTAGTATGTGGGTACCTAAGTTTTTAATGGTTGTAGGAAATGTTTTGTTAAATGTTGGTCCCACGAAAGAAGGCACAATCGATCCTATATTCCAAGAAAGGTTACTTCAAATAGGGGAATGGTTATCAGTTAACGGGGAAGCAATTTACGAAACAAGACCGTGGACGCATCAAAACGACAGTATCGGTGATACCTGGTATACTCACAAACCTGGAGTAATTTATGCCACAACCCTTAAATGGCCCGACAATAATGTTTTAAAACTTGGACATGTAAACAAAAGTCTTTTCGAGACTGGACAAGTTGTAATCACATTGCTTGGATATCCACGTAAATTAAAGGTAATGAACATTTTTATTAAAAAATGGTTTTCGTTTTTTTGTAATAAAGCAAAGTACCATTAACTCAATATTTATGGGTAATTTACGAGAATATATATCTATATATATATATATATTAATATAGATATTGAGGAAATAAATATAGGTAATATAATCAATATGCCATTTAATAAACAAGTTCGATATTAAATTTGGAATTTGATTTAACATGATATGATAGTAAGTTAAATAATGCGGGGCGTATACCAATTTAGTGCATTTAATAATCAATTGAAACAATAATTTAACAAAATATTATAATATTTGCCTACCTCCTAATATACTTGGGAAGCGCAGAAAATGGCAGGGAATTTTATACCATTAGGGTTAATGAAAAAAGTTAAAGGTTGTTAGTAAATGCAGGAAGTTGGCATTATCCTGGAAATTAAAATTAAATCGTTATCTACCATTTTTGAAAGTAGTGGACGAAATCCCAAAAAAAAATGTTTTGAAAAATAAATAGTTCAGTGATTGGTCATACATGATACATCATTGCTAATTTTTATAAAAAAAATATGAACAACTTTGTAGTTTCAACCAAAACCGTGAATTTCTTTTAACCCTTTTAAAATAGTGACAGACATCCTTTATCCTCAGTTTTATTACCATTTTAATTTTTGTTGCAGTGGGTATTTGAAAATCATACTCTATCTATCAATTTTCCGGAGAGGAACCTTGTATCAAATGACTGGGCATGGTCAGTTAAAATTACCAACGGCAAATGATTTTCTTTTTTATATTTTCCATTAAGAATAAATTAGTGCACTACCTTCTTGTAAATCATAAATTGTAACTGTTTACCCAATAAATTTATTACTATATATCTATCAGTCTTAACATATTTTTTACTTAATCTCCTCCAACATGTCCTAAATACAGAAGGTGGTAATTATTGACGGATGTAGCTAATCCAATTTTTTGAAAAATAGTCCTTATAGTTCGAATAAGGTTTGAGTAATCAACAAATTGAAAAATTGCAACGGAAATTGGTAGAACCTTTACTACATGCAAAACTAGGTAATTTTCCGAAAGACAGAAATAAGTGCCAGTTCTTTGCAACTAATTTCCCAAGAAAGCTTTCAAATGATGAACTATCAGACGTTGCCGTCATCATCATAAGGTCGTCAGTTCCAAGACTGGCTGGACACGCACCTCCACCCTTTCCTATCCTGAGCTAATCTTCGGATTTTCTCAAAACTAGAACAACCCACATCCTTAACTATTTGCGAATAGTAATCTAATCTAGCTCTGCTTTTACTCCTTTTAACTCCTGTTTCTGCCTCTAATATGTTTCTGACTAGACCTTCATGAATGAGAAGGTGTCCTACCAACCTATCTCGCCTATTTCTTATTGACTTCCATTGAGTCCTCTGTTCTCATATTTTTTCTAATACCTCTTTGTTTCTATCCTTCTCTATCCCCGTTATCCACGTCCTAAGCGTCGTTTCGGTGGTTGTTTATTCAGAAATATTCTATTATCTTAAATACATGAATTTGCTTCATCTCGTCATCTCAATATCATAAACAGTTGCAGAAAAAATAGAAGTTAATAGTCTGCAATTAAGCGGTGTCAGTTGGTGAAAATCTTGGCTTAATACTAATTATTTGTTTGAAATTAAAAAAAATATATAAAATGAATCGCTTGATCTGGTCTATGCCCTTTAACAAGTAGTAATTGTAAATGCAAACTATCTAATATGTAGGTGTAGCATGCTATCGGCCATATTGATTACAGGAAATAAAAGAGAGCACTCGACTTCGTAACCTTTAGTTACCCACGACAAATTAAATCTTTACTAAGTAAATAAAGGCAAATCAGAGCTTGAATTAGGTTTCAGAGTATAGTTAGTGAACATCTAGAAATTATTATACTGTACTGTAATTGTACGAGTGTTAAAACGTTTATTAGCTGTTACCAAAAAAGATCAAGGACTATAAATTATAGTCGGTTGGAATAACATCATTTTTATACCTACTGTGTAGAGAAGTGCGATCAAAATGATATACACTTCATTACTATTGTCAATATGTTTTACTTTTAAAACGTGTATTTCAGTTATTGTTACCGATTGTCAAGATTGTGGACGAAATGTTAATGAGTTTCAACCCACTTGGGAAAGTTTAGATAGTAGAAAATTACCCCAATGGTACGATGACGCAAAATTCGGTATATTTTTGCACTGGGGTGTTTATTCGGTACCAGGATTTGGAAGTGAATNAGAGCGGCTTCCTTTTCGAAAAACAACTTCATTACACGAAAAATTTTGCCGGAAATGATCGAACTGGTTGAAAAATATAAACCGGAAGTTATATGGTCTGATGGTGATTGGGAAGCACCTGATACATATTGGCAGTCTACGCAATTCTTAGCCTGGCTCTACAATGAAAGTCCTGTGAACGATACGGTCGTTGTCAATGACCGATGGGGTATAAACTGCTCATGTCGTCATGGAGATTTTTACAATTGTAAAGATCACTATGATCCTGGTAAGAAATTTTTTTAATTTTAATTATTTTGCAATAAATATCAAAAAAAAAGATACGACCACGCCACATTTTTATGTCATTACATGTGTATACTTAAGTCTTACTGAATTGTAGTTAACAGTTTGCAAAATTCAAGATAGGAAAAGTTTTGTTTGCCTAAATTACATCAATTATTTTCCCTTTTCAATAAAAGGTATCCTCCAAACGCATAAATGGGAGTCCGCCACTACTGTTTACAAAGGATCATGGGGTCATGTAAAACATACTAAACTACAAGATTATCGGACTCCTTGGGAGTTAATCTCGTTAATTGTAAGAACTGTTAGTTGTGGAGGTAAAGATAACATTTTTTTAGTTTCTTATTTGTTTAGAGATTGCCATTTACACTATCATTTAATATTAATAATATACATTAAATATCCATTGAATAGATTCATCATCATCCTAAAGTTATCAGTGCTAAGACTGGTTGGACACGCACCTCCACTCCTTCCTATCCTCAGCTAATCTTCACATTTCCCCAAAACTAGAACAACCCATATCCTTAACTATTTGTGAACAGTAATCTAATCTAAACCTACCTCTACCCCTTCTAACTCCCATTTCTGCCTCTAATATGTGTCTGACTGGCCCTTCATGCCTGAGAAGGTGTCCTACTAACCTATCTCGCCTACTACTTATTGACTTCCATAGAGCCCTCTGTTCACCTATTCTTTCTAACACTTCTTCATTTCTAACCTTCTCTATCCACGGCATCCACATCATCCGCCTATGACACCACATTTCGAACGCTTCTAACCTTTTTTTTCCGCACCCGTACAACTACGCGCTCCAAACATACACCTTTAACAATCGTTTTCGAATTTATAAATTAAGCGTTGTTATTGAAAAGTATTGTAATTTAAAGAAATAATTGTTTCTCACTTATCTTGCATAATTCAAATATTCCCATTTCCTTAAAACTAGCTCTAACTCTACTAACCATGTCAGTGTACCATGTGGGTACCTAAGTTTTTAATGGTTGTAGGAAATGTTTTGTTAAATGTTGGTCCCACGAAAGAAGGCACAATCGATCCTATATTCCAAGAAAGGTTACTTCAAATAGGGGAATGGTTATCAGTTAACGGGGAAGCAATTTACGAAACAAGACCGTGGANTTTTTATATTTTCTATTAAGAATAAATTAGTGCACTACCTTCTTGTAAATCATAAATTGTAACTGTTTACTTAATAAAATTATCGACATGTATGTATCAGTCTTAACATATCTTTTACTTAATTCTTCCTCCAACATATCCCAAACGCAGAAGGTGGTAATTATTAACGGATGTAACTAATCCAATTTCTTGACAAATAGTCCTTATAGTTCGAATAAGGTTTGAGTGATCAATAAATTGAAAAGTTGCAATGGAAATTGGGAAAACTGAGTAATTGTCCGAAAGATAGAAATCATAAGGTCGTCAGTCCTAAGACTGGCTGGACACGCACCTCCACCCTTTCCTATCCTGAGCTAATCTTCGGATTTTCCCAAAAATAGAACAATTCACATCCTTAACAAAAAATTATGCCTTTTGTTTTTTGTTGTCGACTGTTTGATATCAAGTCTAACAAAACACAAAGGCCATTTGACAAATCATTTACTTTAAAAGGAAAAGAGTTTTTAGTGGTTATTTAACTATTGGCATCCTGGAATTGGAGGGTAATATAGCTGGCCACTATTACTGTAGAAATATACAAAATGAATTAATAGGACTGATTGCCTCAAAAGGTACAACTCCAATAGTTTCCCGCATTCATGGTATTATGCAGCTAAAACTTATTATAATCTTGATATAAGTTACAAACAGCAACTCTCAATAACTTTGAAGTGCGCTGATATAATGAAAGATGGGTGTGCCTAAAGGAATATTTAGTTTCATTTCATCTGTGGAAATAGATGATGCATGATTTGTACGGATCTCAGGGAAAACGATTTTACAATTAGAAATATTAACGACTCATATTACATGAAGGGATAACACAAAGGCGTAGAGAACAGAATTACTGACATAATTCTGTTAGCGGAATTATACGATCTTATTACTGTATAAGTCCTTGATCATTAATTTAGCTATCGAAATTGCCAAAACTGATTTCGATCTTATTAGATCTCAATCCGAAATTATTTTCCTGCAAAATGTGTTATAGTTACGACGCTTTAAAAATAGCTCTAATGAGATATTGTGGGAAGTACTTTTACTTTTACTTTTTGAACTAAACACTTTAAATTATCAAAGTAATGTTCTTCAAACTGGAAATTTGATAAGATATGCAAATATAAGACACATATTTTATTCAAATTCTAATTCTCTTTGTAATTATTGTTTAGTATTAGAATTTAACGATTTTGAATGTCCGCGTGAAAGAACATGATATGATACCTATAAGATTGATCTCTTATGTGCACAGAGTGACAAATGCAAGATGCACCACAATCTGTTTGTTGATTTTTTTATAAATTATTAAGTATTTTTCATGCACTTCAGATAAAGAGAAGTATTTGGAGGGGGTATATTTAGTGCATTTAATAATCAATTGAAACAATAATTTAACAAAATATTATAATATTTGCCTACCTCCTAATATACTTGGGAAGCGCAGAAAATGGCAGGGAATTTTATACCATTAGGGTTAATGAAAAAAGTTAAAGGTTGTTAGTAAATGCAGGAAGTTGGCATTATCCTGGAAATTAAAATTAAATCGTTATCTACCATGCTTGAAAGTAGTGGACGAAATCCCAAAAAAAGTATTGACAAATAGATAGTTTAGTGACTAGTAGTCATACATCATTTCTAATTTTTATAAAACTTATGAACAACTTTGTAGCTTCAACCGAAACCATGAATTTCTTGTAACTCTTTACATCCTGACATCCATTGTCCTCAGTTTTATTACTATTTAAATTTTTGTTGCAGTGGGTGTTTGAAAATCAAACTCTATGTATCAATTTTCCGGAGAGGAACCTTGTATCAAATGACTGGGCATGGTCAGTTAAAATTAACAACGACAAATGACTTTTTTTTTTATATTTTCTATTAAGAATAAATTAGTGCACTACCTTCTTGTAAATCATAAATTGTAACTGTTTACTTAATAAAATTATCGACATGTATGTATCAGTCTTAACATATCTTTTACTTAATTCTTCCTCCAACATATCCCAAACGCAGAAGGTGGTAATTATTAACGGATGTAACTAATCCAATTTCTTGACAAATAGTCCTTATAGTTCGAATAAGGTTTGAGTGATCAATAAATTGAAAAGTTGCAATGGAAATTGGGAAAACTGAGTAATTGTCCGAAAGATAGAAATCATAAGGTCGTCAGTCCTAAGACTGGCTGGACACGCACCTCCACCCTTTCCTATCCTGAGCTAATCTTCGGATTTTCCCAAAAATAGAACAATTCACATCCTTAACAAAAAATTATGCCTTTTGTTTTTTGTTGTCGACTGTTTGATATCAAGTCTAACAAAACACAAAGGCCATTTGACAAATCATTTACTTTAAAAGGAAAAGAGTTTTTAGTGGTTATTTAACTATTGGCATCCTGGAATTGGAGGGTAATATAGCTGGCCACTATTACTGTAGAAATATACAAAATGAATTAATAGGACTGATTGCCTCAAAAGGTACAACTCCAATAGTTTCCCGCATTCATGGTATTATGCAGCTAAAACTTATTATAATCTTGATATAAGTTACAAACAGCAACTCTCAATAACTTTGAAGTGCGCTGATATAATGAAAGATGGGTGTGCCTAAAGGAATATTTAGTTTCATTTCATCTGTGGAAATAGATGATGCATGATTTGTACGGATCTCAGGGAAAACGATTAATTGTAAGAACTGTTAGTTGTGGAGGTAAAGATAACATTTTTTTAGTTTCTTATTTGTTTAGAGATTGCCATTTACACTATCATTTAATATTAATAATATACATTAAATATCCATTGAATAGATTCATCATCATCCTAAAGTTATCAGTGCTAAGACTGGTTGGACACGCACCTCCACTCCTTCCTATCCTCAGCTAATCTTCACATTTCCCCAAAACTAGAACAACCCATATCCTTAACTATTTGTGAACAGTAATCTAATCTAAACCTACCTCTACCCCTTCTAACTCCCATTTCTGCCTCTAATATGTGTCTGACTGGCCCTTCATGCCTGAGAAGGTGTCCTACTAACCTATCTCGCCTACTACTTATTGACTTCCATAGAGCCCTCTGTTCACCTATTCTTTCTAACACTTCTTCATTTCTAACCTTCTCTATCCACGGCATCCACATCATCCGCCTATGACACCACATTTCGAACGCTTCTAACCTTTTTTTTCCGCACCCGTACAACTACGCGCTCCANATGTAAGCGCAAAGAATGTGTTTATTTACGACATCACATTAGAAACCTCTAAAATTATCAGTGTTTCCCTACTATATTATGCATGTATTATACATGTAATCCTTCCTCTTGAATCACTCTATCTTTTAAAAAAACCGCATCGAAATCTGTTGCGTAGTTTTAATGATTTAAGCATACATAGGGACAGACAGTGGGAAGCGACTTTGTTTTATACTATTTAGTGATATTTATATCTACAATTCATCACAACAAGGATTATATCTAAGAGCAGATATGAATTTTAATCAAATTTAATTTAGTCAAAAAGTAATTGATTGCTTAACAGTATTACATGTCCTTTCAACAATCTTTGACTTTGGCGCCCCTATCTATCCCTCCCCCTAAATCCGGCCCTGAAAAAGGATTAAAAATTAAACGAACATATTTTAAAAATAATTATTACTGATTGGGTGTTATTCGTTTCATAAACTTTAGAATATATACTTATTAGACTTTATTCTACTTAAATTCAAAAACGTAGTTGTAAACACAATAATAACAATAATCGAATTTAAACATCAACATAAAAATAAAGTAGTAAATACTGAAGTCTGATGAATTGAATTAAGTACTTACGACGAAACAATTGTTACTTATAAAATTAGTATGAAATAATAATTTTGATGAAGTTTACATTCGTGTTTAATATTTAAGTTAAGATCCGTAGATAGTCGCGTATTCGGCATCTTTTTTAGTTAACAATTAGAAACTACCCATGTGTGTGGTTTCCGTGTATTATCTTTGGAAAAGCGGTAAAAATCCAGAACAATTTTAATAATTCTAGTAATTAATAGGCGCAAATTCGTCATGAATATTTTACATATTTAACTTCAATTAAATTGCATGCAAGTGTGTATCATATGCGAAACTCCACTTACAAAGATCTGCAAAATTTTATTATTTTATTATAACTCAAATGGAAATAAACTGTATTTCCAATCAGCAGTTTACGTAACAATTTAGGTATTTTATTTACGATATAATACAGACGTATCACATTTGATAGATTACCTTTTTAATTGTTTAATTTTGCAAATGTAACGACAAAGAACACTAATCTGTATAATACTTTATTTTATTAGATAAATGCTGTATTACGTAGACGTGTATTTTTATCTGTCATATTTTATCAATCTGTTCCAGACAAGTATCCTGTAGTATGAAAGTGATAAAATTAAAATTCAAGTAATTATCAAAACTATTGAACAGAAAAGAGCTTATTTGTTAACAGGTGTCAATGAACAAAATACCTCATGTAATGGCATTTGCTGCTTGCATTGGAAATGAATATACTGTTTGTAATGTAAATAGACGATGGATACGATAACAGCCGAAACATTATCTAAGTGTCGTAAATAAATGAGTTTTATCTACCCAGATTATTTATTATTCTTCAATAAAAGTTATCGAAAAGATACTATCAATAAATCAATAATAATGGAGATAAAATAANTCGTCATGAATATTTTACATATTTAACTTCAATTAAATTGCATGCAAGTGTGTATCATATGCGAAACTCCACTTACAAAGATCTGCAAAATTTTATTATTTTATTATAACTCAAATGGAAATAAACTGTATTTCCAATCAGCAGTTTACGTAACAATTTAGGTATTTTATTTACGATATAATACAGACGTATCACATTTGATAGATTACCTTTTTAATTGTTTAATTTTGCAAATGTAACGACAAAGAACACTAATCTGTATAATACTTTATTTTATTAGATAAATGCTGTATTACGTAGACGTGTATTTTTATCTGTCATATTTTATCAATCTGTTCCAGACAAGTATCCTGTAGTATGAAAGTGATAAAATTAAAATTCAAGTAATTATCAAAACTATTGAACAGAAAAGAGCTTATTTGTTAACAGGTGTCAATGAACAAAATACCTCATGTAATGGCATTTGCTGCTTGCATTGGAAATGAATATACTGTTTGTAATGTAAATAGACGATGGATACGATAACAGCCGAAACATTATCTAAGTGTCGTAAATAAATGAGTTTTATCTACCCAGATTATTTATTATTCTTCAATAAAAGTTATCGAAAAGATACTATCAATAAATCAATAATAATGGAGATAAAATAAATTCACAAAGAATGAGTTACATTGTAATTGATGTAAAGCATCCTCAAAATCTCATGAACTTTCATATGCGTGAAGGACGTACCTCACTGAATTCATACTGTATTAGCTACATTACGAAAACATTGATCTGGCTGTTAGCCTGGAATGAAACTCCAGATGAACTGTTAAGAGTGACGATCAATGTTTTTAAAAGGTAGAAATGTAGAAATCAATGAGCGTGCGGAGTTTTGTCAAATGGGCAACTCAAGGTTACGGTTCATGAGATTCAGGAATACCATTATTAGTGATTGATAAATAGCAAGATGTCAGGCAAGACGAAGATTTGATTCTAGAAGACTAACCCAAAAGATAAGTATCTAGTGACATGGATCCAGAAGTTTAGACCATTACTTAGCATTCAGAAGGAATCCCGATCCGTCTACAGTGGTCCAAGTTTTTCGGTGGTTTCCTTGGGTCATTTAGGCAAATGGTGTGGTATTAATAGTCTACAGATAATCTTTCACTCTTTTCATTTTGTTCGTCTCATCTTTCTCACCCCAACCACCACACATCCATTTCCACGATTGCTAAATAGAAGCCGAAGAGGATCCTCCGTCCAGTCCAAGAAGTCTGCCCGTCCACCAGCATTAGTAGCTGGTGGGGATGAAAAATCCAAAAAATTTTTTTTGAAGTGTTTCTTTGTTGATGGTAGAAAGGAAATTTACTAGCGAAGAACTTCCTTTAGTTCAACATTAACCCATATCTTTTACTCACTCCTTTAGATTGCAAAATTTTGAAGTTTTTTCAAATTTGGATGCAAATTAAAAGTAAATGAGTAAATATTGCTTTGAATATCTTCTCAAAAATTTTAATTATTAAATTACCAAACGTAGATAAAAAAGATGTACAAGTAGTTAATGATGCCTAATAAATAAACTTGTTGTTACTGTAGACAATATTACAATTATCTTGAAGAAATTTAACAAAAGTGAGTGCGTCTTGATAGCAATCCTTGATAACAAATAGGTGTGATGATATAATGTAAGTTAATAGGATGAAAATTCAGGTGTGTGTTACGTGCATTGTAAATTGTTATCACGTTTTGTTACTGGTCGTGTTACAGCTCAAACACGTGAGAATTTAGCTCAGACATGTGTTTTGTGTATGATTTCAAAATATAATAAAGAATTACCGCAGTTTTCCCAATAACACTAGAAGTCAGTGGCGACTCGTGCCTGTGTGTCATCGAATATATACCGAATGTGTCAAACCTCGAGAAAACCACTTACTGTGCCTCGTCGACACCGCAAGCACGAACAACCGACGTACAAGTACAAAGATCATGCAAGTGCAACAGACTTGTCTCTATCTCTTCCCTATCCAGGAGTGGATGAGGAGCGGTAGTTTATCGAGTGGCATAACTTAGAGGTTTGGACTATTTCTTAGCATTCGGGAGGACGCCGGTTCGATTCTGCGTCCGTCTTCCCCGGTCTAAGTTTTCTTGGATCACCTAGGCAAATGCTGGGGTAGTAATATTCCAAAGATAATCTTTCATTCTCTTCTGTCTTCACTTCGTCCGTCTCATCTTTCTCACCCGAACCACCACCCATCCATTCCCACGATTCCTGAAAGGTGACTCAAGAGGGCCTTACACCCTACCTTCCGGTGTAGTCCGAAGGTGGTAGGAAAACACTTTTGGGTGTTTCATTCCCACCAGCCAGTATTGCTGGTGGGCGGGTAGTCCCTCCGGACTACGCCGGAGGGTAGGGCGGAAGGCCCTCTTCAGTCTGCTTTCAGGAATCNATGCTGTATTACGTAGACGTGTATTTTTATCTGTCATATTTTATCAATCTGTTCCAGACAAGTATCCTGTAGTATGAAAGTGATAAAATTAAAATAATTAAAAAAATATGTAAAGGTCTATACATATATTTATGAATTTTATTGTGTATTATTGCAGATCCATTTTCACATCCATTTTTGGAAAGGGCTGTACATGATAGGGACTTCTCGGCACCTGCCTCAGTATCTCCAGTAGAAAAGACGGCAGCTTTCTGGAAATCTAGCGCACAACAGGCAATTTCCAACAAACTTAAAACAATCAACTACAATACAGGTGTAAAATCATTGAAATCGATTTAATTTTAAAGGGGCTATATATTTAAATGTGAATTATCGTTTATTTAAGTTTATAAATATTTTTATGATACCACTAGAAAAGTGGCATTCAAGTTTAATTTTCTCGCAAACCACTGAACCGGTTTTTACCATTTTTTCTTTAAAATGTAGCCTAAAACATTGTAAGGGCGGGTCTACTTAAAAGCTTTTTGGGCTGCAGCCCAGGTCTCCGTTGATAGAAAGGGCCCTCAGCTTCTACCGAGAATAATAATATTGTGAAGAAAAAAATATCCAAAATTGAAAAAAAATCCCATCATAAGGTTGAGAACCCTGCCATCTATAAAGCCGTATGCGCGTCTATCGAACGGTACTGGGAATTCCCCGTTGCTTGTTTCTACATTTTCTCGCGCGTTTATTAAGGGGGACTGGCCGCAGCTTATAGCCCGTCGCAATTTTGTCTTTTTTCTTCGATTCTGTTCTCGTTGTCAAAGTGACAAATTGGTTTTGTTATTGTTAGAACTGTGTCAAAATATATTATTGTCTAATTTTTTTTCTATAACGCATATATCTACATCATTATAGACAAAAGCTTTTTGATAAAATAGCAATTAGTATAGTAATTAGATAGGTCCCTAAGTAGTATTAGCCCAGGACACCACAAATTCCCGATCCCTGGAACATTGAGACAGTAGACTGACCGCCTGGCAGTCCAGATCCTTAGAGAATTTGTGGGACAATTTAGATCTTCTTATAGTAGAGAGACTTGTTTGTGTTCCTAACAATTAAATTTTATTTTCAATATTTGGTACATCTTAAGCTTCATTAGTGTGTATTTATTTTATTAATAGAGATGGTAAATCGTAAAAATTATTTTAGCGGTTTGCAAAAAAACGAACTTTTCTATTGGTGCATTAATTCTGAGGCGCGATGTAATTCGGAGCTTTTAAATACAAGGATTTGCTTTTGACTCCTACATTATCTCAGGAACTATTGCGATGGATAAACAATATTATTTATAATTTGCGTTCTATGTAGTTGTTTTCCCAGTAAGAAGTTATAGTAGTGGGTCCGATTCTGTGAATTCTGTAATTTTTAAGTGGTGTGCCTATATGTGCGTATGTTCGTTTAGAATAATTTTTTTCTCGATTATTTCGACAGCGAAAAAATGATATCGACATGGAACTAATTGCATTTAACTCATAATCACACAATTAAAAACTGATTAGATGTTTAGTAATATCGGTCCAGCCATTTTTTTGTATAATATTTGTATAAAAAAATTGATAAGAAAAATATACGAATAGACACATAGCAATAGTACGTACAATAATAATAAAAATAATGATAAATAGGACACTGGGAAGTTAGTCATGTGGACCTTCCTGATCGAACCCAGACCACATATTTATAACTTTTTTTATAGGTAAGGCCAAAAATATTATACTATTTATGGGAGATGGAATGTCTCTTCCAACTGTGACAGCGAGCAGAATATATAAAGGGCAAAATGAGGGACGTTCGGGAGAAGAACAACAATTATCCTTTGAGCAGTTTCCTTTCATGGGGCTGTCCAAGGTAATAAATTTTGTAAAAAGTCAAGCCTGTCATATGATGATATGACCACAGGAGGGGAAACTCCGTCTAATATGGGGTAGTTTTTTTAATCATAATTAAAGATAAAGACATTACTTTATTATCCCTTTAATTTTTTTGTAATATACAGTATAAAGAAGTAATTTGTCTTTGACATTGCTTTTGGAAATTTCTAAAATTTATTTAAAGCAAACATTAAATTAGAAGTTGGTTTCGGCTTTCGCGGATGTCCGAAGAAACTGGATTTCCAGATTGAAGTTGTATCTTATTGATGAAATCCCCATGACGAATCAGGACGTTGTCAAAAATGTTCGACGTTTCGTCTCCTATCACAAAGGGAATCTTTAGAAGCTTCACGTTGTCGATGCAGGATCTCCAACGCTGTTTCTGAACTGTTCTAGATGATTTGTCATTGTGATTGCATCAATAAGACACAGTTAAAATCCAGAGTCTTCAAACATTAAATTTTTTCTAAGTTCTTGAGACAGTATTCACCTGCCCAGTACTAAGTTGACTTATTCCTTTTTAGACTTACTGCGCTGATTCACAAGTTACTGATTCCGCAGCTTCGGCAACCGCTTACTTAACAGGGGTTAAAACAAATTATAATGCCGTAGGAGTTAGCGCAGCGGTAACAGTGAGAGACTGCGCCGCCATGTTGGATGAGAATAACCATGTGTCATCCATTGCGGAATGGGCTCAGAACGCTGGAATGAGAACCGGACTTGTAACTACCGCTAGAGTTACCCATGCATCACCTGCACGTGAGTATTAATTGAAATAAAGAACGCAATTTGTAATTAATATTAAAACCATAAGGAAAAAAAACTTCTATACTTTCCATGAAAACCAGGTAATGCGTTTTTAATTCGTTCAAGTATGTGATATCGATAATATAAATAAGTGTAGTCTCAAGTGTGATTAATTTGCAAAGATCTAGAATTTTTAAAATTATCTTTTGCGTGTAAAGTGTTGGAACACCCACTTGACAAAAATAACATTAATACATTTATAAAGTTAGATGAAAAGATTAGACAAAAATATAAATTATTTTTGCGTAAGTGGACTACAACCTACAACACTTAGCAGCAATGCATTGGGATCTTAAAAGAGAAGTACCAACAGTCCATTTTTTAATGTTTTAGCCCTCTACGCTCACTCTTCCTACCGAAATTGGGAGTCAGACACCGACATCCTAAGGGATGGAGAAGATCCAAGGGTATGTCGCGACATCGCATCACAAATGATATTCAACAACGTTGGGCAAAAGATGAACGTCATCTTCGGAGGTGGAAAATCCGAATTTTTTAACCAAACTGCAAGTGACGAAAACGGCAATGCGGGTTATCGATCAGATGGTGTGAACCTAATAGACACGTGGAAAAACCTCAAGGCCCAGTCTGGTAGCTCCTATGCCTACGTTTACAACCGAGAAGGCTTACTTAATTTGACTAACGAAGACCATGTTCTGGGTTTGTTTACCAGCGATCATATGAATTACGAATTGGACAGAAATGCAGGTAAAAGGAAGTTAAACATAACGAAATTACATTTTTAAAATAGATTCAAGTAGGCGATGAGGTATCATCTAAGAATAATATGGGACTAATAATAGTGATTGTTAGTTTAGAATTCGAAAGAATTAAAAGTGTTTATTAAATAAAATGAAATACAAAATGAACATATCATAAGTTCGTACAAATTCGATCCTCTACAACCGCTGTCTTCGAGAACTGATTCAACTCTCCCCCGCAAGACTGACCGTAATGTTTTTGAGACCCTCGGTCAAGTATATCCTCTCTGTCTCTCTTTACCCCAACGTTGCACGTGTCAATTTTTGTCACTTTCTCACGGTACCTTCAGTCAGCTAATAAAACCGTACGGCTGGAGAGGACGCAGCAGTTTTCTTAAAGTTTATTGCTTAAAAATATTTTGCTTCTTATTCTAAACATACGGATAACAATTGCTTAATCCCTTAAAATTACAAACTATTCGTAAATTACTTTAAGCCTACCATAAACTAAAAGGCACGCATTCCCGATACTACAATAATATCTACGCATTGGACCTTGATCCATTCGTTTGACAATTAACACCACGTTTAAATACTTATAATCTGTTATCGATCAAATTCCACGAACTTAATAACATCAAGTGCACATCATGAAATTAATAATCGATACATGCATTTACTATTATTAAATCCTATGTCATCAATTTATCGAAAACACTAGGTGTGAATCATGAGTCTTCACCAGGACGTCACTGGTAGATGATTTCGATAAATCAGAAACCAAATCGAACTTGTTCCATGCGAACAAAATGATTAATATCGAGTAACTGGCAGTGTATGACCATCCGTATATATTTACTGCTAAATGTAGTATTTCAAAGTGTTTGAGGAGGTTGGGGGGGGCATCCTAGGAATTTTAAGAAAATGGTCCCTGTAACTATGATAGAGAACCATTTTATTAAAACAGGCAAAAGAAGCAGCTGTGTAGCAACTCTTTTCTTAAAATGAAGATGGCCGCGATTTAATAAAAGAAAGTGTGTGTTAAAGGGGAATTCCGATCGACTCAACATCGTATGGGAAGTCTCGACCCCTAATCATCGAACCGGTTTACTTGTGTGGGTCGTGTTCAGTTTTACATCTCAATTTAACAAGTACCTTTGCAAGACCTTTTCAAACACTATGACATATTACAGTTAGTAGTAAATCCTTTTTATAGATGGCGATCCAGTGCCAGTTACTTGATAGTAACCATTTTACTTTAACAAAAAATATTTTACAGATACTGAGCCTTCTGTCGCGGAAATGACGGAAGCAGCTATCAAGCTTCTTTCGAAAGGGGACGAAGGATTCTTCCTGTTCGTTGAAGGTGCAAGAATAGACATGGCCCATCATAATCTACTTGCTGTGAAAGCCCTGGCCGAAACGGTTGCATTTTCTAAAGCGGTCAGTGTCGCAGAAAACTTAACCAATTCCGAGGAAACGTTAATTGTCGTCACAGCCGATCATGCTCACACAATGACCATAAATGGGTATCCCAGTAGAGGTAACGATATAAAAGGAATATCTGGTGCAGCCGATGATGGTTTACCTTATCTTACCTTGAGTTATGCCAATGGAGTATACAACGGATTGGACTCGAACAGCGGAAGACACAATTTAACTGGAGACCCAGCTTTAGGTATGTAATCCTCTAGGGTCTAAAGACCAATATTACACGGGAGAGGAAGGGGGAATAGATTGGGGCGGTAGGAAAAGCTACCATTACTTGGGGAGGGGCCAAAATTAATAAAGAAAAAGGAAAATATTAATTAGGCATTAAGATTACCCCATAAAATCTATTAAAAACCGAGCTATTTTGGCTTACAGGAACTAAGGACTACGTATACCCCGGTATGGTATATAGAAGAAGTGAAACTCACGGTGGTGACGATGTGGGAATTTTTTCGAAGGGTCCGTGGGCACACTTGTTAACCGGTGTTAATGAACAAAATGTCATCCCGCATGTAATGGCGTATGCAGCATGCATTGGAGATGGCGATACCATGTGCGTTTCCGGATCAGAGAATACTATGAGTCATATGTCTGTCTCCTTATATGTCGTGGTACTTTCTTTAGCAATATATTTTGGCTTTTAATAAAGTAAATAAATAAGGAATCTCTAAAATAAGTGTACTTTTATTATCTACTTGCGATCCGCCCCAGCTTCGCACAGGTGCAATGCTGATACTAAATATGTATATTTTTGTTTTGTTTAGATTATTATCGAGAAGGTGAAATCTTCAAAAGATACCCCCTGAACATACTAAATATACTACAGAATGTCTTTATATACAACATTCACAATGTTTTTGTCATTAGACAATACAAACCGGCCTCCCGGCCGGTACCGCCGCAACCGCTATGTCCCTGCATTTTAAATCTGTAATATCTTGGAAAATATTCATTTAAATTACATGCTGTAAAGGGCCATATTGTTGTATATTAAATGCACAATGTACTTAAGGTACTTAATTAGATAAGAATTAATGCAGTATTGCTTACAATCGCTTCGTAAATAAGTCATTATTTCTCATAAAAAGTAAAGGATAAAAATGGTTATTGTGGGTTATCCCTAAGAGATAGACATATACCATCCCGGACTTTTTTGTAGACCCTTTTAAGATGTACAATATTGTAGTACATTATTTTGATCTATCTCGTAGAGTTCAGCAATGTAAGCGCAAAGAATGTGTTTATTTACGACATCACATTAGAAACCTCTAAAATTATCAGTGTTTCCCTACTATATTATGCATGTATTATACATGTAATCCTTCCTCTTGAATCACTCTATCTTTTAAAAAAACCGCATCGAAATCTGTTGCGTAGTTTTAATGATTTAAGCATACATAGGGACAGACAGTGGGAAGCGACTTTGTTTTATACTATTTAGTGATATTTATATCTACAATTCATCACAACAAGGATTATATCTAAGAGCAGATATGAATTTTAATCAAATTTAATTTAGTCAAAAAGTAATTGATTGCTTAACAGTAAATCAACATTATAATTTGTTATTTTATTTACCTATTCACGCCTTAACTACTCAACGGATGATCCAGAAAAAAATAATGTTCTTGACGGATAGAAAAATAAGTTTTATGTAGTCCATTTCACACCTTAGCTAGATCGATCAGAATGAAATTTTGTAGATACATTGTCAAGGATACAGAAAAAGAAAAGCTGTTCCCAAGGGATAGAAAAATTTGTTTTATGTGGTCGTCGATGATTTTTGGCGTATTTAGGACATCAATGTGAGCGAAGCCGCGAGTAAAATCTAGTTTAATCTATAAATTCCTGACATTTTTGAATTTCGTACTGTGTCCACATTATTTGTGACCCAAAGTAATATTTTTTTACTTGATATACATATAAATCTACAGCGTGTTATTAAAAGAACTGCTTAACAGTTTAACAGTAGTTTTAAAAAATTATTTACTGAATCATGAGTTTTCACGAAGCAAATTCCAACTTGGCTTTGCTTCTAGTAAGTGTCTAACTTCGTCAATTTAACGATTTGCTTTTGGTAATTTATGTAATCACTGCTATTGGTCCACTTAAATTTGTTGATAATAATGTTTATCAACATGCTTTTCCGTTTTGAATTCGATTTAATATAAAATGGAAAGTAGCGAAAGTGTGTAAAACTTGGTTTACTTGAAAACAATTATTTATGCATGTCCGAAGTTGTACTATTCATACCGATTTGGTTTATTTTGTAATTAATAATTTAGATTTCAGAAAACACATCTGCAATAAATCGGTGCTGCTAGTTTAGTAATTTAAACAATGGGACATTTACAAGCTGAAACTATCGATACAAGAAATCGATAATTGCTATAAATTAAGTTGCTTGTACTACAAGTCTGCTTATTAAAATCCGATATGAACTATTGCGGTAATTAAGCTTATTATCATTATCGGATTATGCTTTTCAAAGGCGTTTTCATTTTATATACCTGAAGATGGTAAGTTTTTTCACTCATCAACATTACATGCATTTTGTGTGTATCTATATGGTGAATAATTCACACAACTTTCATGTTTTATTTCAATTAATTCTTCGAAGAATTTTAATTACTTTATACCTACCTAAATGAAAAGTAATTATTAGTTGAAATGCCTTTTTGATAAAGGTATGTGGTAGAATGATCTCATTTTATTAAAGTTTAAATTAAACAAAAGTAATGTTTTTTCCCAAATACACACAAAGAGACAGATCTGCTGCCTCAATTTGTTATGACGATTTACAAAGTTATTTAGATAGTTTTTTTTTCAAGTCAATGCAAGTTCATGAGTTCTTGATTCATAATCTTAATCGATTTTAGACATGCAATTCGATGATGAATTTTCAATGCATCCGAGCCGCACGTTCATCCCTTCATCTAGTATAAATGCACTTAAGGGTGAAATCCATGCAGAATTTTGGATTAAAAAGGCACAATATAGCATCTACAATAAACTTAAAGAACATCCTATTGAAGGTAAATCTAATTTTGATTTTAATTAGTTCAATGCATTTGATAAAATTAAAATTCAAGTAATTATCAAAACTATTGAACAGAAAAGAGCTTATTTGTTAACAGGTGTCAATGAACAAAATACCTCATGTAATGGCATTTGCTGCTTGCATTGGAAATGAATATACTGTTTGTAATGTAAATAGACGATGGATACGATANCCTAAGTGATCCAAGGAAACCACAGAAAAACTTGGACCAAGGCAGACGGACCCGGAATCGAACCGTCATCCTCCCGAATGTTAAGCAATGGTCTAAACCTCTAGGCCATGCCGCTCGGTGCATTGGTGGTAGTGGTAGTCGCCGTTTTTATGGCAACCAGCTCGCTCTATGCAAAGGTGCAGTTACTTACCTTCATTTTGTGATAGAAATAAATTGTAATATTGTTCGAAAATAAGCTTTTTACCTGAGTAGCCGCCACTGCTAGAGGACCTGTTTTCGTAAAAAGAAATCATAATTGCGGCAATCGACTAAATATTTTATTGATGATACTTATTGATTGCTAAATTGATATAAAAATCTGAAATACCAATAAAATCCAATACGATGATCATTTATTATACTGCTATTAACTAGTTTGTACGAAGACGTCGTGTTGAAACAGGGATTAAAGATTTAACGCCCATAAAACAAAAATTAAAAACATTTACTCTTTTTCTTAGTAAGTAAGTACGTAAGTACCACACCTACTGATAAAAACTGATTTAATGTGTTAAAGTCTGTTTGGAAGAATGCTTTACGATGCGTTGTATAATGTATGTCTTATAACCCAGTCTGATTATCTAATGATAAGTTTCCACGAAGAGTCTTTTTTGAATATGATTTGCATGTCAATTTTAGTAGAACAAAAAATTATTTTGATTTTAATAACCATTTATTGAAATATACCTTCATCATTTTTAAACTGATTGAGTCATTAATACTATTTATTTTAATTGGGAACTGCAAATAGGAAACTGTTAGAATGCTTGTACGTAAATAAGGGAAAGGAGATGTGCAGGACACCCTTTTGGGGCATCAAGGGATAGTTAAAGACAAATTAGCTAGAAAAACAAAGGTAATGATAAAGAGTACATTTAGCATTACCTACTTATTAATTGATTTAAAAGAATCGATACGAGAAGTCTTCTATTAGACGTATATAAATAATCTTTCAACTTTCAAAGGTGTATTCTCAATGAAACATTTTGAATAATAAAGGAAAAGAAAAGAAAAGAAAAGATGTTTTAACAAAACTGTTTATTCCTCGACAATTGTTTCGACCTCTAAGTAGTTAGTAAGTAGTTACTATTGTACTCTTCAAAATGACCTTTTAGAGGTTGAAACAATTGTCGAGGAATAAACAGTTTTGTTGAAACATCTTTTCCTTTATTATAAATAATAATCGTTCCTGTTTTCATTAGTTGTTTATTAACTTATTATAATACATGTATATGTTTCATTACGAATAATCTATTGCATTTTATGCATTTTTGAGGTTTAAGTGATTTAGGTTCATTCATTCAGATTGATTTATGTATCGGAATTACTTAGTACACTTTGCACCTCTCTTATCTATCAGTCTATCTGTAGCTATACTAAAATTTAACGTATTAAAAATATGAAATGGATTAAGTGCATATCAGTTGAAAAAGGCCATTTATGTAAAGGTAATGCCACATATATAGCGGTTGAAATTAGTTCACATAATGATTTCAAAGATTAGAGTAATAGAGGATCACAAATCGGCCAGCGGGTGTGGACACATCGGACAGCTTGGAGATGGAAGGACCTCTGAAGAAGTTCGTATTCGTGCTAGCGAAACGTTAGGAAACAACTTCAACGCACGACGGCCTTTAAAACCAAATCAGAAGAGCATCAATAATAGACCTTGTTCTTAAAAGTTATTTTTTTTCTTTTTGTTGTGGTTTCCCACCTCCTTCCATCGTGAGAGTGTTTTCTCACATTTCCCCTCTCTTTTTCTTCCTCTTCCTGTACTCGCTGTGACATTCATGTGACAGGATACTAAAACAACCCACATTTTGCTTTATATGATCAGATGAAGCTCTTATTAAACACCCTGTATATCGAATCAGAAACGATATCAGGAGTTATTAGTATGGGCATAATCCACCTGCGATAATAATTTCTCCTTCCACCACAAGATAAATTAAAGAAATAAAAGTCCTAGCGTTCGTATGTTAACAGATATAAAATAATTCTATTTTATTTTCGAAGAATCAAAAATTGTTAGGCATGGATTTGGCAGCCCTAATGTTTATTTTGTTTACTTGTGAATATACACTGTGTCATACAATTAATCACGAAAAAGGTACGTATTCACCACTGTACATATTCATTTTATTTTTTTAACGTTAATTTTTTTACTAAAATATACATACAATGAGCTCGTCGAATATTACATATCTTACTGATAAATGTTAAATATTAATTACATATTGCAGGTAATTTTAGAAATAGTGCCACTGAAAAATCTGTTCATAATCCTCACCATGTGGGAACAAGAGACTTTGAAGTTAGCAATAGTGAATTAGAACCTGAATATTGGATTCGAAATGCCCAATTGAGTATTTTAAATAAAGTTGATAAATTAAATAATTTGAATACAGGTATGTATGTATTGTCTGCATAATTCAAGTTGCCAGTAAGGGAAAAATGTAAACTGTATGAAATAATTTAGAGTAGATGGCCGAACTAGAGGCTTCAAGTTTGATAAGGAACTCTGCTAAAATTTACACTTTTCTCTTACTAGTCATATTAAATCATATAAACTTCATACATGTAGAACAATTTATCTTTAGAGTTTGCTTTTAGGAAATATTTTGATAAAAAAAGAAAAGGTCAGAGTGTTACGTTAATAAATTAAATGTTAACTCTTTTACTATAAGAACGGACTAACAAAAATTGTTTTGTGTACTTGAATTACATTCTAATTAGTAATATGAGTCTTGTAAACCTTTATTATATTGTCTTTGAAGACATTTGATTTCATCCAATCTAATTGTCATTGAATGCTAACATAGCAAAATCTTTCTCTTATGATATACTAGGTTTTATCCCCAGCATAAAGTTGCATTTGGAAAAATTTAATGTTCTTTATATCTTTTATTGAACCAAAATTTTCGATTTTCTACACATTTTCATTTACATCTATTTGTAATTGATAATATTAGGTTTTAGAAGCGGCTTCTCCCGCGTTGATGTCACAGATCATCGACAACCACATAAAACTAATTCTTCTATTGCTTGGGAATAGTGTTTTTTTCTGGATAAAAGATACCCTATTTCATTTTTTGTACCCCTGACAGTGTGTTTACAAAATTTCATGATTATCAGTTAAGTAGTTAAGGCGTGAAATAGTAACAAATAAACAAACTCACATTCGCATTTATAAATAATATAAGTTAGGATTAGGATAATTGCTTTTTTTGAAGACATGAAGACAATAAATGAAGTTATCAATAAATAAAAACGTGATGTTTGGAAAAAGATAGCACCGTATCATTTAATTTAATGCTACAAATCCTGTCGAAGGACAACTACCTATACATTTAAATAAAGGAAACTAAATTAGAAAGCAGTTAACTTATTTAATTTCTCAAAAGTACCACTTATGTATGATTCATAAAGTTTACTCCGTTTTTCGTAAACCCTTGGTTAAAATTCACTTCTGTTCATTCATTAGTGAACAAATTTTTCAAATTATGTACTTCCAGTTTAATTTAACTGTACAAACAGCAGTCATATATCATATTCAATCATTAGAACAATGATATAGAGATAACGATGTTTAGACATTATCGGAAAGCTGTTATTAGCAATTTTTCCTAATCTGTGGATTTATATGGATACTTTTGCTTTTCGATAAATAATTTAAAGTTTTATTTAGGTAGAGCAAAAAATATAATTATGTTTTTGGGAGATGGGATGTCTATTCCAACTGTAACAGCTGCGAGAATTTATAAAGGACAAAAACATGGTCTGACTGGAGAAGAACAACAGCTGTCTTTCGAGAAATTCCCTTATGTGGGCTTGTCAAAGGTAAAGTACCAAGTCAGGTTACGTTATCGCCAATATCACCTAATCTTTAATAAAAACACAGCCTAAAAGAAGGCCCATGCTCCCGCACCATCGTTTATTTATTTCTGCATGTAGAAACCTAAATGTATGTACCATTAAAACAAAATTTGGGCTACTCGATTCTATAGAATTCCAACTGTGTACAATTATGAAAAAGAGTTGACTAGGTATTCTTAAATAAAACCCAGATATCATAAAATAATTTATGCCAAGTTGCATACATACCCATTTTCATTAATATTACAACATTGGGTCAAATTAAGAAGGCGAACTCCGCTGCAAATTGATGAGAGTTCCTTTACTACTTTTTTAAACATTCTACGATATTAAACGAGTTGCTCAAAAAGAAGAGAGTATGTTCGATTCCTTAATTGTTGTCTTAGTGTATCTTGTTTAACACCCGGTAAAATCGAGTAGGTGCTCTTATTAATAAGAGTACAAGACTTTTTCTCCCTTTTGGACTATTAATTTATCAAGGGTTATGCCCTCTGAAATGGGTTGAAATCAATCACATTTCATTATTTTTACAGACTTATTCTGTAGACTATCAGACCACAGACTCAGCAGCGACTGCTACGGCTTACTTAACCGGTGTCAAAACAAATTATGGAACAATTGGAGTAACTGCTTCTGTAAATCGTAAGAACTGTACCGCCATGTTAAACAAAAAATTTCACACAACATCCATAGCTGAATGGGCTCAAAATGCTGGTAAAAGGACCGGATTTGTCACAACAACTAGAGTGACTCACGCATCACCCTCACGTATGTCATAATTATTATAATACTCTCAAACAATTTTCATTTTCGATTTGACCTTAAACTTCGAAATTCAATAATTTTTTGATACAATGTATACAACTAAAAAAGGCCTTTAACAATAGGTGTCGGAAAAGGTAAACGTTACATGATTTATTTCATTCTTAATAAATACTTATCAGTCTTGATTATACATATCACGGCATTTATTTTTACTAATTAACAAATAAATCTATTATATTTAAAGGTTAATTCCCGACATGTTTCAAAGCCTCGTTATCAATTAATAGACTGAAGATAAAAATGCTAATTAAGTCATATTTGCTACAATTAAATTGTTATTGTGAAATCCCTTTCTATATAAATTAGTTACTTCTTGGAAGTCAACTGTATTTCCCTTTTTCGCTTATCACTTATCACTAGCCTAACAATCATAATGTTGTCTAGCCATCCTTTATTTACCTACACAATTGTACACAAAAACTTCTAAAGTAGCTTTTAAATAATAACCGACCATTTAGTCCTAGAATTCTTTATGTCGTTGCTGTTTAAAAGCTTAAAATGGGAGACAATAGGTGCAATAAATGAATTTTCATATTTTCTTAGCCTTGTTCGCCCATTCGGCGGATCGAGATTGGGAAAGTGACACAGATGTTTCAAGTGACGGTCAAGATCCGACAATTTGTCGAGATTTGGCATATCAATTAATTCACAACAAAGCCGGGCAGAAATTAAACGTGATTATGGGAGGAGGGAGGGGAAAATTCTTTCCCTCAACTACGTATGACGAATACGGGAATATTGGAGAGCGCAGCGATGGAGAAAATCTTATTGAAAAGTGGAAAAACTATAAAAAGCATTCACCTAATTCCAAGTATGCATATGTCCACGATCGGGCTGGCCTTCTCCATCTATCTAACGAAGATTACGTTCTTGGACTTTTTGCCCAGTCACATGTCAGCTATGAACTGGATAGAGACCCAGGTACACTCCCCTACGATAAATTTTAGTACACATTACTTTGCATTCCGGGCCCGTCTACCCTGATCCAAGTTTTTCTGCGATTTCCTTGGATCACTTAGGCAAAGGCTGGGGCACTAATATTCTACATATAATAATCCACTCTTTTGTGCCTTCATTTCATCCGTCTTACCCTTTTCACTTTAACCTTCCCCACTCAATTTCACGAGTTATAAAAGGAAGCTGAAGAGGCTTTTCCGCATTAACCTCCAACGTAATCCGGAGGGACTGTCCACGCACTAACATTAGTAGCAAGTGGTAATAAAATATACAAAAGTTTCTTCTTAGTTTTAAAAGTAGTTACTCCTATTTGGGAAGCTTTCGTTGGTATTGAGTTGTGAAGATAAGTCTGCTACTAAAGGAACTTCTATTTTTGAAAGTTGGTACTCAGAAAATGGCGCAGATACCCTCACTTATATGCATAGAGACTAGGGGAAAAAGACACAAGTTAAAACGTGGCTTTACACCTTCTGCCCTTTTGGGAGTTTAAAATATGTTATTACGGGTATGAGTTCCTAATAAGTGAGGATGTTACATAGGTGGGACCTGATGCTCCTCATCAGTTTCAAATCGCCTAAGAAAAAATAACGGATATTTCTTTAATTTTATATTGTCTACAATTTTCATAGGAAGAAAATAAAACGAAATTGTATTGTATTGTAATGAGTTTATACCGTCTGCCGATAACTAGGTATCAGGTTAGACTCATCAGAGAGACGATATTAATCACAAGGTAGGTAGTTTGGTTTATTTTAATAGCCTCGGTATATATTTGAAGCTTCCTGAAATGCGACGATCAGTAGACTCTGTAATGTCTTAACGAGATCGTGGTAGACGAATCGACACATCAAGACCTATTTTGAAATTTCGCTAGGAAGTAAACAAAAACATTCAACAATCATTGATTTCTGATTGTGTATAGAATTGTGGAATTATATTACGTTACAAACTTGAAAATTTCATTACCAACAGATTCCAAGCTAAGTATAAGGGTCTTGGCTTATTTATGAGATGTGCGAAAAGTTTCCCTGCTGCTTCAGCGTTTCGAAGACCTTACTTTTGAGATTTTCCTTCCATTTATTCTAAACTGTCTTCTCCTTATTCTGATTCCAAAACTACCCTAATCAAAATTATTAAATCTGTTAAAAAGAAATCATTCTATTTTTAGAAGTGGTACCATCAATAGCCGAAATGACACAAAAGGCAATAAAACTTCTTTCAAAAGGAAAAAATGGTTTTTTCCTGTTTGTTGAGGGTGGTCGTATTGACCACGCACACCACGACGTCCTTGCAAAAAAATCTCTAGAAGAAACTGTTGCATTTGCCCAAGCTATAGAAGTGGCAGTAGACATGACTAATGACGATGACACCCTCATTGTCGTCACTTCCGACCACTCTCACACTTTATCGATTAGCGGATATACCTACAGAGGAAATGACATTTTAGGCGAAGCTGACATCGCCGATGACGGTTTACCTTATCTTTCACTGGGTTACGCTAATGGAAAGAATACTGGTCGAGATAGTACTGGTGTCAGACATAACGTATCGGAAGATGAAGATTTAGGTAAGTATCTACCATATTTATCTCCAGAATTAGAATTACTTTTGATTAGAAATCCTTGGATCTATTATTTATCAGTTAAAAAAAGGTCATTTAAGTCTTTCCACTAAACCTTTGAAACTACGCAAGATACAAAAAATTGTGTTCTTGTTTTGTAAGATGTTAAGTAAAATATCCAATAGAATCAATGTCGCTGTTGCACCATCTCCTTTTAATCCCGGTATCAATTTTTAATCCCATTTAGATGCTAAGGATTAGTGTCAAAATTGGATTCTTTTACAAAAAAGGAATGCAAATCATATTGTGCATACATAATTATGCATAGATTTAATCCCTTAATTATATTGTATCGAAGACATTAACTAAAAACGAATTACGAATTTCGAAAGAATTTATTTACAACAACTGTACCATTTGTAGGCACAAAAGACTATGAATACCCAGGAATGGTTCTTTTAGACAGTGAAACTCATGGTGGAGACGATGTAGGAATTTTTGCGAGGGGCCCATGGGCTCATCTTTTGACCGGTGTTAACGAGCAAAATGTGATACCACACGTAATGGCTTATGCTTCTTGTATAGGAAACGGACGAACTGTTTGTTCTTTAAATAAATCGTCGTTGTCATCATCGTCAGTTACAAATCAATTTTTCATATTGGCGATATTGTTACCGTTAGTTTTACCTGTTTATAATACAATTTAAAGAATAGAATCTCCGTGATGTAATTAAAATTATATTAATTTTACAAATGTAGGCATTTTTGAACAAATATATTCTTATTATAAGCACCTACTATACCTGCACAAACAAAATTCTTTTAAATCCCTCGATATACGTATTTGTACACAAGTGTGTGCTTCGAAGTGAAAGGATAAAACGTTCATCTTTTTTATTAGAGACTTTGGCATTTCAATGGTCGAAAACATGCGATAAGAAGACTGTGCATGTGACGAAAGCTTTTTTTTTACATTGTAGCTGGGTGGTCGAGAAATAACGTCTTTAAGTAAACACCTTTAATATGTAGCTTTCTTTATTCAATAGTGAATTTTATTTTTAAAGGCAAAAATGAAGATGCGGGATATAATTATAACAATGTTATCTTAAAGAATGATGTAGAACTTTTAATGCAAAAGATTATTTAATTTTTTGGATAATAATTTTTTTAAACTGAACAATACAATAACGCTAGAAATAATAGTTGTAGTTATTTCAGAAGTACCTTTTCTTAAATTTTATTATCTTATACTTCATTTTATTCATAGTATTAGAGTGCAAATTGTCCTAATTGGATAAATCTAGACTAATTTTAGTTAAAGTAATAATTATTTTTTTAATATTTCACTTCTAAATAGCGAAACCATATGTACTTTAGTCTGCTAATACGTCTTTTTTTCGCTTACTATATATTTGGAATTGTTAATAGTTTAAAATAGTTGCAAGATTTAGCAAATGTAAAAACTGTAGAAATATGCTTATAGTCGTGTCTACTTATTTCATTCAACAATGAAATATTCATTAATTAACTAACTAATAAATTAAAAATAAGGTTCGTCTAATTCTTCAGATCTGATATCTAACATTTCTTAAATTATTTTAAAATATGTGCGGTTAAATCACATTGTTTTGGTACCCAGTACCTATTACTTATTTTAAAAAGCAGCATTAATTAACTAACTGACTAATCTTAATTAAACATAAGGTTCGTCTA